ATAAATAAATAAATAAATAAATAAATAAATAAATAAATAAATAAATAAATAAATAAATAAATTTCATTATATATATTTATTTGCACACCAACTTGTTATTAACGGAAAACTCAACTGATTTCCAGCGGGATCTCTCGTTTGTGGTATTCTTCAATTAAATGTGATACACGAAGCCCAACTCATGTTTCGGTGTGCACGATATTTGAAACATCATTGTATATTTTCTCAAAAGAAACACTATTCCCAAGGTTGCTGAAAATTCCTCGAAGCCTACGATTGGTTTCATCCTTCTTGGAAGCTCAGGGACCGCACTCAACTGATGAGCCTCAACGAAGACACAACGACCGTGGTCTGTCGAAGAGTATTCAGCAACCTTGTAAACAATGTTTTTTTCAGAAAACATCACCCTGTCCTAAACAGAAACTCCACCTTGGAGCTACTGGACCGCTGCACTGAATTTCGCCGTAAAAGAGATTACATTTCACCATTTTTACATTGCCATCCAAATTTGTCGTTCAGTTAGAACATAATGCTGACGGAAACTCAGGAAGTGTACCAAGATGATGGGCCTCAAATAGGGCGAAACTAGTCGAGGACTATAGAGGAACTTCAGCCGCCTTTTATGTAGTGTGTTCCATCAAGAAGCTATACCAAAATATCTCGAATAGCGCACCAACTTAAACATGAACCCGGCCTCGTGTAGCAAATTCAAATGAAGAATGTCAAAAGAGGAATTAGGCTGGGATTCAGAGGAGCATAATGTTAACACCAACTTATGTAATATATTTCGTGAAGCTACTCATCTACTTATGCATGCTATCGTATCAAGAAGTTGGGCATTTAGGTCAGATCATGTAGGATCGGTGAATGAGAGCATCGAAATTTTCAAGATAGATTTTTCGGCAGCTTTCCCGTTGATGTTCAAAAAGATAACAGGGTACGGACACGCTCATTGTTGGAAGGGTGTGGTTATGTTGGGATTCAGGATTGCGGTGTAGTATCCCTTATCAAAGCACATCGAAGGATGGTTGCAGAGCCCAACGTAATAGATGAACCTGGATCACTCATGATCACCATTTGGTGTCAGCTTCTCTGTTTGGTTTGTTTGGTTTGAGACCACAATTTGGTGATGGTGTATGTCGTGTGCGGATGGCAAAGATGGGTGAGACAAAACAGGCAGTGAAGTTAATTTTGTTGTCTCCCTTGTACTAAGGCATTGGTGTGGTTGTCAGTTGCGACCGGATTAATGGCAGGGGTAGGCTCCTATTAAGACGCAGACTCTTGGTTGCAATCTATCTGATTTAAACCTGTATTGAAACAAACGGTGACTTTGGAGATCGATATGGTACTTTCTCACAAGAGCTCGGAGGTAACAGCTTGGCTTTTCCGCAGCATTTGGATTTTCTGAAGATTTTGGAGCTGATAGAACTTATCGCCTATGTTGCTTAACAGTACTACGCTTATCTGCTGGGTTTCAAGAACGGCGTAACCGGTAGTGGGCGTTTGTAGAATCTTCAGTAACATATCTGCCCTGTGAGTATCAACAGGCAACTCAGTCGTTCTCAACCCATACATTCCCTCTGATGGAAATTGTTTTTGTTTCGCACTAAATGTACTTGTAGTTGTTGTCTGCTATATCCATACTAACTGTGATGTAGGACAACACTCAAGCCTTGCTATACAGCCGACTGACTTGATTCAGCGTGAACAGTAGAGGCCGTCAGAAGTACCTGTTACTCTGCCATTACTGTGGGAATAGACAAATTGGTGTGATTGCCGTTTGAAGAATGCACTGTCTCATCCATCGATTTCCCGATATGTCTATCCGGACGTCCAAACAGTATCGGGACGACCGAGGCCCTGCAGAGTCATGCCACTCTGACTAATGTTCGCCTCAGTGAGAGTCACACCTACGGTCAACGGACCGCGAACACAAAAATGAGGACAGCGACTGACTTGGTTAATTTTGCGTAGAGCACGTATGCGTCTTGTTTCGGCGTGCGAAAATAAACGGATTGGATGTTTATACAGATTTCAAGGTGTTCGGGTCTTGTAGAGTCAAGTGCCGAGCGTCCTATAAGTTGAGCACACTAACCCGTTTGTGAAAATAATGCATCTATTTCCAATCGTAAGTTAGGCAATTTCTTAGTGAAGACTTACGTGCATAGAGGAAGATGGTTCGTATGAGAGAATGCCTCTTCTCGGAAGTACTGCTAGGGAAATGAGAGAATAGCACTTTGTCTAAATTGAAGTTAGACAGTCAAGTTTATATGACTCGGTAATTTCCCCGGAATATAAACAATGCATTCGTTCACTGTCCCACTTGTTTGTATAATCAGTGTTTAACCGAATGGTATGTGGGGGAGAAAGTTATGGTATTGTCCTTAGATTCTGGCCTCACTTTGGGGCCAAATCTTGGAACCCTCTGGGTGCTTATAAAGTTTCGAGACTGGACCTTGTCAACCTTTGACACCATCATAAAGTTACCATCACCTACCACTGTTTTTCTCTAAAAAACAAAGGATGATACTTCAATGATGGTGAACTATATAAGTTACGTAAACCACTGAGAAAATGGAATAGTTCGTTCTAAGGTCGTTAGCTCAAGGTGGCTGTGCGTAATTTGAAGTGATATTACCGAGGTGAGCATCAGCTAGCCTAGGTGGAATTCTTCTCTTAAACTAACCCGTATTACCCGTGTGCTTACATACATCCCTTTTGTCACCCTCACGTTGCGTTACTTGGAGTTCAGGTAAGTTCCACAGTCAGTGCGAAATGCCAGTTAGGCACTAGTGAGCATAAGTTGGGACGTATTTTCCCATAAATCTAAATCAACTATAAACGTACACCATGGACTAAAAAATACACCTGAGGATGAACAGAGACGACCGCCCTCCCTTCACCGGAGGGGGATTCTACCGAGTGAGCTACTGGGAGGCTTGCTGGCGTGCGTAGAAGTGTTTTTTTTTTCGATTACACTATGTAGCTGGAATGCTCGCTTCAAAATTATGGCAAATTTTATTATTAGTATTATTGTTATTTTACGTTAGTTACAAACATTTGGTGTTTTTCTGCCAAGACCAATTGGTGTTCATTCTACCATACTTTGGCCATAGTCACATTTTTATCAACACTATACTCTCCAGAGCAGAAAGCCATGCCCCATTTCTCTCTCTCGCTCAATAAAATGATGGTATTTACTCTGAGATGGTGGTGATCCCCTGTGCATCCAGAAACAGAGTACGACAGCTTTTTCATGGATGTGTGCGTACTATTTGACAGTGTAACAGCAAGTGGCCAGTTTCCACCAGTTCATCCTTTCAGACGTCATCCACAGGTGGGAAAGCAACAACATGCCTCTGCATGCTGTTTGATGCACTTGGTGGCAGACAGAAGGAGTTAGTCTATCGACGTAATACACAACTCATAAAGTTGCTGAAAATTCTTCGACAGCCCAAAACCGATTTCGCTCCTCCTGGGGCTCAGTAGGTAGGCGCAGTCCCAGAGCTTCTGTTACCCTGATGTTCCAATTGAACCGAAATTGCACGAAATTTGACTGATACACTCAACAACAAACCAATTTTGTTTTCATCGGATGCTCGTCTGGAATCCAGCTGAATTTCTCATTTATGATTTTCTTCAAGTATATGTGCCGCACCAGACCGAGAAATGTCATTAAGTAACATGCAGGGTTTTCAAAAGACTGGTAACAGAAGGCACGAATCAGACTACATTCTACTACAACCAGCGACATAACTCCTGCAAAATCAGATTGCACCACTACACGAGCTTGAATCTATTCAGGTCAGTTGTCTTTAGGGGGAAAACAGCTATACCTATCCTATCCTCTTTCCCAGTTTAGTACACTCTAACCGAAGATGTTCTATCATTTTCATTTGAGTGCGTACTGCATTCATCTTTAAATTTAACGTGTGTTCCCTATTTGGTAGGTCACAACACGTGAAAAAGGAAAACTGTCAGGTGACTTATGATGGGGCGTTTCCAAAAATTTTCGCTCATTTCTATTGGGACATATCAGCTAGAAATGAAGGGACCGACCAAATGATTTTCTGACTGTCGGTCTAATGAACTCAAGCGTGCGTTCAAAACAGTCGCTTGAGCTGTAACTTGTATTTTTGACCCAGCAGCCTGACTAATTTTCAGTTTTCGCGTCGTACATTAATTGTAGGGAGTGATTTAGCATGATAGCTCAGTAGGAATTCGACCGGATCCCAGGATGTTGGTTTGGCAATTACCAGATGGTTTTATGGGGAACGCCGATTTGACTCTGGACAGGCTACCTGACTAGGTTAACGACTCAAAACAACTTCAGAACTTAGTACAGGACGGAGGGAACTTCCCTATGGAGATTAGATTGCTTTTGAAATTCCATGGATTAACAGAATAGTTACATAGTCAGAACGGTTAAGTTGCCGTCCGTCGAAACGATATGTCATTTGTAGCTGCTTTGATCAACGAGTTCTGATTAGAAAGGCTTTCGATGAACTGTGCCTGCCGCACCAAATACATATGCATATACCATACAGATTACAATCTAAAACCACAAGTGCATCGTTTGTTACACTAGACACTCCAATGCTATCAGTTATATTTTCACAACACACCTAAATGCTCTTCACTGGAAATCAGCTGAACTCAAGTTTTCCTACTACCTACATCCACCTACCTTAGGGTTTGGCTTCGTTTTAAAGTAGAAATATTTCCGTTTTTCTGGCTAGATGGGAAAATTTCGAAAGAAGAATGATAACTGGGGTTTGTAGCCATGAGAGGGATCGATACGGCTACATTGGGGACTGTGGTAATGTGTTGGCTTAATTTTTTAATTGCGAAGTAGTCTGTGTAGCATAGCGACAGCACGAAATACTCACTGTTCCATCTATTTAGAGCGAACGAGGATCAGATAGCAGCAGACGAAACACTAGAAACCTTCAGAATAAAATATCGGATACTCTGAACGTTGTAGTTGGGTAAAAAAAAGTGAAGTGGACACACATTTGTGGCATGGAATAAATTGGGCGTGGCTCTATTCTAAGGGAGAACGAATTTTCCGATTTTCCAAACTTATCCACTGTAGAAGCATAAGGAGGTTTGTAGAAGCCTCTGATCTAATGCTTCATAAATTTTGATTGGCTGCCATCTCGACTGGATCAGGGGTTTGGGCGCAAACCTAATGACCGAAAGGTCCGTGTTTTGATCCCAACCTCCGCCTCTCAACTACTCCCGCCTGGCCTTGGCAACTTAGCATTATCTGAGCCCTCATGCTTCCTTCGTGTGGTATGGCCGCTCTGCACCAAAAGACTTCTATAGCTGAACGATTACCACTAATAATATTATTGTTATTGTTATCGTCATTAATCTCTCATTAGAAATCGCCGGTCATTGGAAAGTGACATCACTTGCAGACATGGCTCCCCGAGGGTTATCCTTAGAAATCGGTCAGGGCAAACATACAGCCAATAGGTATGAAATTACGTCATAGCTTTAGCCGAAACGCTAGTCACTCACGGCACGCTAGCCGAGGTTAACTTAACTGGCATTCGTACTACGGTTGTCAAACCACCGATTTTGGCGTAATGTCGTGTTTATCATTCAGAATATGCGAGAACATGTGGTGGACGACGGGTGGGTAGAGGGTAATCGACGTGGCATGTTTGCCAAGACGTAATTAATGGGAGCGCTGCTAACCGATCATAACGTGTTTCCCAAAATAGAACCAGTGACCATGGAGGACGTCATATCACACAGGTGTTCGGGCTGTCAGCGCAGTGTGTTTCGTACCAAGCATCAACCAACTGACTTTTACAGGTGGTCTAGATAGACTAAGCTGTTGCAAATACGGTCGTTACAGTTCGCTACACAATGACTCTTCGGGTATGAGTGTTTATCCAACCCCACTAGTTATTGCAGTAATATTGGTGTCTGTGGTGATATCAATATCTGAGTGTTTTATTTTGGTCAGTTTGTATAACTAAGGCCTTCTATGAGGACCCTGATTACGGAGTTCTCTGAATTTGCCCCGTAAGGTAATTGCGACCTCCACACGAAAGGAAATTCCTTTGCATTTCAGTACTAAGCTCCGCACGAAGGCATCAAGTTGTGGCCAAAAGGATTTAATTTGAACTTAATTCAAAATGTATTTTTGGGTCTTGGAAATTCTTATTGGAGTACCTTCCATTTTCCAAAAAAGGGATAACCTTTATTTCCCCAAGTTGTTTTTCCCGAATGCACCGCTGATGCAGTGTCTTTCACATGTGGCTGTTGTAGGTATTTGCTGGATTTCTGGCATGTAAAAGAACCGTACTGATTGAAAGGCTATATAGTTGCTGAAATCCAAGCGCCTTGAGAATAGGACTGATTTGGAATGTAGACTAAAGTGCTTCGATCTTCTAGGCGCAACGAAAGACAGACTGTCTTCCAAGCGAAGGCAGAGATCTGATTAGATGTATGTTGGTAAAAGGCTTTCCTAATTTGCTTGCGTATGGTCCATTAGTACTCTGCTGTTTGTCGTCTGCAGTTAAGAAACGGTAGTGTTGCTGTAGCTTTTCTATCATTTTCAAGCGGCGCTGAAATAAAACTGTTCCTCCACTCTTATCGACTGTATATCAAACTTCCTCGTCAACGCTCCGAAAGTAAACAAATAGGTTTCCAAATTGACTGGTCGGTTAATCAACCATGAGACGGTGACGTCATTCTGTTATGCAACTTCGTGACCTCAGATGGCTTGGCTACCAGGCTACAGATGAGTCATACTAATTATTGGATAAGCACTGAGGCATAAGTAAGCCGCAGGCGATAAGAAACAAAATGATGGCTTCCGTCCAATTTGACCCGATTGGTTACGCAAGCTCATTGCAAGTGAGCACGAAAGGACCGAAATCCTTTCAGGCAATCAAGCCTTTCAGGAATGGATAGAGGAAAAACTCAAAGAGGAAAACTTCCCCCATCAGAGGCATGTGCCCATCATCCGAAGAGTGGTCACTCGAAGGGTTGTTTGAAGAATGATCGTCTGACGTTGACTGGTGATCCGTTGTTGCCTACGTGCGAGTTAATCAGTCCTGATCAAGTCATCGTGGTTGAGCGAGAGGGCCCGGAGACCAACAGGTGTGATTTTGAATCACCCTAGAGATTCGTGAGGCGCGCGGTGAAGAGTAGCAACAAGATGCAACGTCGGTACAGTGTTTCTTAGCTTTTCAGCATCGACTGGCTTTAACTGACGGATGAAATCTCGACTGAAACATGCACATTTAAATGGGTCTTATAGCAAAAAAAAACCGTATAGCTTAGCGCTTTTCGGTGCCTAGCTGCCACGCCACCCGAAGGAAGCAAGAGGACTGGGATACCGCCAGGTTGCTCAAGCCTTGACAGAAGTCGAGCTGCAGAGGTCGGGTTCAAACTCCGTCCCTTTAGGTCAGTAGATTCGCGCTCTAACCACTGAGCCATCTCGTCAACTACTTCGAGGTCTTCAAGGCCGGTTAGGCTTAGCTCTGAGGCGTTTTTCGCGCTGCTTATTTTTTGGTGATTTGAGGGATCATAAACAGCGCGCGCGAGAGTATGTAATCCAAAGGATCCTAAGTGAGTTAAATAAGCAGTGGTTTGTTTGTGATTTGCTCTAACTTCAGCACTTTCAGGAAACTTGTGTACACCTTGATACTTAATTTATCCAAAGACTGTTTTTCTGCTTCACACTGCACACTTCATCTACCCGTTGAATCAGTGTTTACTTGATATGTTCACTAAATCTGTTAGCATGATTATCTTACTGGAGTACCAGTGCATTTGGCTCAGCCGTGAGGTCGTGTGGAACTACATTTTGCGGTAGACGTACGCGCCTAACTCACATTGCTATATTTCCTTCGGTATAAAATCATCAGTGTGGCTGACGAGAAAACCCAAAGTGAAAGACGAGTTATCAGCGCGACAATAGATTGGAGTGAAATACTGCGGTACAAACTCGGGCTTGTGGCTTAGATCACGATGCTTGGGTAGCAATGTAAGAATGCATGACCCACACTGTTTCACGTTCTGTTTGGTGCTTACGAAGAACTGGTGTGAGTGGTCGGAAGATTGCAGTTGTCAGGCAAATGGCTATATCAGGAAAACAACACAGTCGAATCTCCTCCAGCCTGCACAGTACGAGAATAGACTGCTATTCGTGTGCGAGAAAGCGAGAATAATCCGCTCATCGCTGCTATAGCGAAGCCAATTAATGCTAATTTTTTCCGACAAAATCACAAGTGCGGTGCAGATCTTGCCGATATTCTATAATTAAAATACAAAGCCCATTCCGATAAAAGAGCTGTTTCTAGGCATGCCGGACGTTTTTTTGAAAACTTTTCGAACATTTCCCTTGCCAGGAAGGAATTTCTGATGAAACAGGTTATGTTAGAGACTGCATGTGATAGTAGCAACCGCTCTGGAAGACGGTCGGAAGCAGCGGTTTGCCTGTAAATCCAGTGTATCCCACCGTCGGCCTACCACTGGTTGTGGACTTTGTGAACACCCGACTTGTGGCTTAGATTCTGCAAAGGTCTTGTGTAAAACATGTGTGCTGGGTTATTAAAGTAAGCACCATTTTTGATGCAAGTTTCGCCCAACATCTGCACCACTACCTTCGGTAAACGCAACCAGCAAACGTCTACGATTGATCGAAAAAATAAGAAGAGGCGGGAAAAAAATAAACAGGGGAATCCCGTAGTCTCAAGTTCCTCTACCTTGTTTCATATCCATCGGAACCATGTAAAACAAGATTCTGAAGGCTCTTTGAATTGTAGTGAAAAATTTATGAGGGAGTGAATGTTATCCGGGTTATGGCCCCAATAACCCAGATGGTTTTACTAAGTTTCACTAGTTTCAGTTAGCTTTACAGGCCCGGGTTTGTTTACTCGAGTGATGTACAACGGGGATGTGCTCCACGAGTGTGTAGTGTCTAGACGTACAAGCAAATAACATTCACCTGAAGAGGGAGTTAGGGAAGTGGGGGTTTATGAGGAGGGCTCATGACAATTGAAGGATGATGTGTCTGTTGTGTGAAACAGAACCTCGCATACCGTTGCACAAAAACTGATAATTTAGAGCAATATACCCTCATGTTTACGCCAGACCGAGAGTGGAGCCATCGAAAATCAGATTTCTGTTTTGTGGTGTTTCGGAAAGAATCGAACTTCAGTAGAGACCCAAAAGAGAAGTCCATTTTCAGCAGCACCAAGTCTGATTTGTAACAAGAAGACTGACAGAGTAACAGCTCGGTGGTAGTATTAGAAATACTATCGCTTTTTGCGTGTGTTCTGATGGAGCTCTGACATTGGTCAAGTGCAGTTGGCTCCAGACAAATTATGTCACCTTCAGTTTTAATTGGAAAACGAAAAGCGAGTGAAGTGAGTTCCCGTCCATCAAGCATTCGACTGATGTTCCTTAACACAGGATCTACTTCTGAACATACATACTTGGTGGCATGAACTAAGGACGGCCTTTCATCTTAAATCCAACCAAAGTGAGCCTCTAAAAGCCCATGGAATCGTAACTCTCTCATACGAAGCTTGATGACTCTAGTTGTGCGAATATCCCCGGCTTTGGATCTTGGACAGTGTATATGAGATATCTCCCATCCTGAAACGAACGATATACAGCTGGGCATGCTGTTCTGTCACACGGGGCCAGGGGCTCGGAAGTTCCTGATTGTTTCAGCTTAAATTGAAAGATTTTTGCCTAGCTTATTGGGTTATTTTTGAAAATTCTATTGTTGATAGTGTGAGGAATTTTCGATATCGTTCCGTAATTGAAGCCAACCTATTCTGAAAAGCCCAGTAGTGCTCTGCAGCTGTTTCATCCGGAATGATCAGCAGTGGGCATCTAACAAAACTCCAGGGAGTTTCTAACCAGCGACCTCCCGGCTAGCAGTTGGTCACTTAGCCGTTCGGCCTTGGGCGGCTGATCATCAGTGTAACTTAGAGTTAGACGGGATATAACCTCACTCATTCTTCAGTCAGAGTCTCCAGATCATGTGGGCGCAGAGACCGACTGGCTCCTTGGGTAGCTTCGCCTATTGAATCTTATTCTTCCTCTAAGCTACTTGCAAATCGTTAGTAATCCGAAGAGATCCCGAATTTTTAATGAAGGCATCGTCCTCTGCTTCCCGGACGTCCTCAGTGCTTCTGTACCTTTCGGTATAGATTAGCTTCACTTATAGGACGAAATCTCCATGAAGATCCAATCGTCAGCTGAGTAGCACTTCCCAAGAAATCCCACTATTATAGCGAGCCTACCTATAAGGGCCAGGAATTCCGACTCAACGGCCATAAGATAAAAAGTGGATCAGGCCTGATTGCAGCATGAAATGTGCGAGGTATGGTCCACCTAGGACCGCCCTCATGAATTGAATAACTGTGTAACACGTTTAACCAACGGACTCTTTGGCGTCACCCAAGTTACCTATACCTTGTTTCTAGAAGGATATTGACATTTGTACCTACCTAATGTAGTGTATCTACTGTGGTGCTGATGCACCAAAGCTAGCGCCCGCAATACCTATTTCCACACTTTCCGAACTAACTGAACATTTCATCGTCCCCAATGCTTGGTTGGATCTTTCACGCTCTCCATTTTCCGGCAATGGGGACTATCGCAGCTGGAACCAATGTATGCATGGTTTACAGCTTATAAATTGAAATGAGCTGAAACCACCCTACGCACTCCTTCAGGTGTGATTGAAGGGATGGGGTCATACGGTTAAAAGGACTCGTTTGCTGAACAAAACGAGAGACCACACAGTTACACCATGCATTATATTACGCCCGTTCCAACTGAGGTGTCTGAATAAAGTCCTTATGCGTCGTGGAAAATACAATACATATTCAGATTCGGCAAACTCAGTGCTTCATAAGTCCTCTATCTTGGAGTTTGGGATTTTTATGAGGGTGGAAGAAAATAAACAGTTTGAGCCACAAAAAACCAGCCGCTCACTGCGCCCGAACCGGATTGACCAGTAAATGCTTGGAAAACTGATATGCAAAAAGAGGACAGACGGAAGTTGGGAGCTGAATACTTGGGTGTTAAGTGGCTAGAAGGCAATTCACAAAAAGGAATAAAAATAGGGTGCATAAAAGCCTTGAATGTAGTACACTAGAGTATCAAACAAATGAAATACCACAAGGTGAAACAGCGCAACTGATCAAAGAGTGCTCAATAGGGTTCCAAACCGACGAGAGTGAATGTGGGGAATGGGGGTAAGACAAAATGAACCTTTTCTGAACGAGCAGCTCCACTAATTGCGCTGGTTCCTGTCAAATGCACTTCTTTCAACCGCCACGAGCAAGTTGTGTTTCTGGGGGATGTGCATCTCAGGTGAAAGATATGTGGGCGTATAAATGAAGGGGAACTCAAATAAGTGTGCAAAGCAAACTCCAAAGGACTGAGCTGAGTGGGGAATCTATTTTCCTGAGAAAGTTTCACGTAAATATATCCACCGCGAGTTGTATTAGGTGCGGTTTCGTCTCGCTCTATGGTATCTTGTAACTGAGCACATAAACGAGTCCACGTTGTTTGAGGGAGTCCAAACAGCACACGGGCAAGTTCATTAGATTCTGCGGTTGATCTACCGTGATGTTTCTGTCCTAGGGACACGACAGCACTGGCACTTCCATCACTCACCAGGAAGCATAGCGAAATGCTGAAGGATGGCGTGACGGGTTTTAGGCCTGTAGGTAAAAGCAATCAGAATCGGAGGCGTTTGTTACTCGAAATGAAAACGGTCTTCTGCAAACAGAGCAATTGAACTGTTGTTTTTGATACGTTAGCACATATTTCTGACTACTGGTAACATCAAGTAGTTGAAAAGTCAGTCGATTTGTTAGATAGATCAATGCACTGTGCATGGAAGTGCGGCTAGCGGTAGCGTGGTGTTGTGGTTGATCAAGCTTAACGAACGAACTCGCTTCGTTTAACCGGGACAAAACTCACATCAGATCGTGTTCAGGATAATCAGGGGGAATTAAACATGGACGTTGTGGTGTTACTGAATTCCATGCACTCACGCGGGCTCATTCGGACAAACAGGTATAGGCATGCAGCAACGAAACATAAAAGTAACCCTTAACCATAAACCGGAAAACCGTCATCAAACACATGTTCTTGGAATGCTTCTCAAACAGAAGTAACCAAGTACGGCACATCCCAAACATTTTGGTATGAGCACACCAGCACGGAATTCGGTACGGGTAAGCGTTACGGCAGTCAGATGGGTTGATTTAATAAGAAATGACCCAAGGTTGTGTGGGTGGGATTTTTAGGGTCGTAGTCACATCACTTTTGTTTGAATAGTCCTGCATTCACCCTAACTCGATGATTCCGGTTAGTCCATACACAAGCAGAAATTATGTGGCACACAAAGGTGACCCTGTCGAGGCACTTTATCGTTTTGAGTTACACTGCCGGTAGAATTTGTCGCCGCTTCGATAGGAAAGGGTCGGGGTATTAGCGGCACAAGAGCAAGTATCCCCTTGGCCCTGCGATAGTCGTGGACACTCTTCATGTACATTTGAAATAAGCGTGGTAGACCATTTCGGACGTCCGCAAAAATACTACTTTGGCTATATATACTACCCGAGAATATATGACACAGTGTCCGGGAGGAATAAGCAACGCAAGTGAATGAGAACCATACCAAGCCCGGTGTTCTGGGACGCCAAGCTAAGCGTGAACAAAAACTGGTGTACGTTTTAGCGATGTGCTACAGAAATGCATTTACTTGGTAGCAAACGTCATAAAGCTGACTGATACGCACCAAAACCAGAAACATAGTCCTGTTAAATTGACCATTCTAGCGGTGGGTGAAGAACGAATGAATCTATTGGATACCAAACATCGGCAAAAATCGCCCTCATTTGGAGGGTGGATGAGGATTTCAGAGAAACTGGCATAGATTGGTCATCGTTTTCCGAAAGAGTCCAACAAGCACCATATGTTGTCAGGTGCTTGGTTTAGTTTGATCGTTGCCGTGAGATCAGGTGCTTATAGGGATAAATACTGGGATCAGATGTGAGCAAAGAAACCCACTTTGACCGGTGTATTCTGAGATCATCGGCTAACTCGAAAATTTTCAACAGCAATCTTGGATGAACTGAAAGTGTAGATCAAAGTTTGCATCAGCAAACGCTGAGCATTGTTCATCGTTGTTCTCGGACGCGATTTCCAGATGAAACAAAGGGAAAATAAGTCAACGAACTGATCATATAATGTAATAGTGACGGTCTTCGTAGAGAAGCGAGCGGGTGCGGAAGTGTATAATGTGTAGAAGGGGTTTTCCATGTTAGAAGGCCTCTACAAAACCAATAAGCTTGAAAAATATACTATTACTAAGGGAGGGGTTGGTTGTTTTAGGGGGAGCACTGCATTTACATGACAAGAATCAGTGATAGCCCAAGTTCAAGATGGCCTCCAAGTTTTGATAATTCGACAGCAAGGAGTCATTTTCGATGAACTATAACATAAGACATTCACTTACGGTGCGGAATTCAAGTCAACTTATCCTTTTATATGGTACTGGAACATTGGAGTTAGAATATAGTTTACTTATCGCATTTTCACCGAGCATATAGACAGCAACGGAACCTACACTTGGAAATTGGGTCGGAAGAGGTGGCTTCCTCGACTGTCCGGCGACACACGAATTTCCACGCACCAACAATGTTCCCTCGAATACGAACTGTTCCGTCCGTCGGGTTGTTTTCATCATGCAGAATGCAGGTCAACCAAGTCAATGGGAGAAGTGTATTTAGGACACTCGTACTGCGAAAGGTTCGAATACACTGTGAACAGGATTGTTGTTGTGGTGCCACAGTTGGCGAGGAACTGGCATTACTGCAGGGAAAGGTGCCTGTTCGTTTCTCAACTTCAACACGTGATAGTGACGATGCGATCAGCCGGAAGGCATCACCACTTGTTTCCGTTGTTTGGAAGATATGGACGCCGTAAACTCGGATACAAACAAACGGCCATAAAGTACAAAGGGCATGTATCCAAATTTCTTCAAAAGGCAGATAAAGCTGAATTACAGCGTCTGGAGTGAACTCATCCGGAGTGTTATCAGATACCGTGTTATCCATGAGCCAAAGACACCAACCACCAACTGCCTGGAACTTGTGGACCACAGTCCCACGGAGAACGATTGTTTTGCATATTGACCCCAAAGTAGTTTGGGTGTTGCGAATCACATCACAAACCTGACTAGGAGATATCAAGTGCTCACAAGTAGGTAACAGTGACTCTTCCGTATTCTCCAACACTATAGACAGTAACCGTTGCTCGCTCTCGTTGAGCCCCTCAGAGCATAATTGATAGAATGCACCCATCCGGAGAGTTGAATACCAACGTAGAGCGACAGGGCCTGACAAAAGCATACTTTTATCAGTATCTTCATTCGGCAGTCGGTATTGGAGAGGGTAGCAAACTGTGTCCCTTATGTCTGGACCACTGCTTCGAAGCGGTAAGCCGAGAGATGCGATCTTAACTGTCCGACGGGTGAGAGGTGGCAACCCACTGGAAGCGGTACTTTCCTCGAGTTCAACGTCTAGCTCCAACGCAATGCACCCCGTCGCCACTATGAATTGCTTAGACATAGATGGTCGTGTTGGGTCCCTGTAGAGTAATAATCAAAACATTCTATACAAGTCGAGTATTTCGGATTAATTAGCGAAAAACGACGGAAAGTTCGTGTGATCAGGGGATGAAAATGTTGATAAGTGTGATCACGTGATGTGGATCCCGTGATTGAAGAATAAGTGGCGTTATATCCTATCTAAGTGTAAGCCAATCATGTCGATGACCAGCCGCAAGTGGACGGGAGGTCGCTGGCTTTGGAGTTTTATGAGATGCGTACTGTTGATCATTCTGTACAGTGCTTTTCGGCTTTTCAGCGTCGGTTGGTTTCAGTTACAGGACGAAATGTCCATTAAATAAACAAATCTTCTAACATTACCAACAGAGCCAGTAATGCAAGTGCGGATAGAACGGAGACGACACAAACTCGAACAAACTCGTGACATTTTATGTACCACGAACGAGTGAACTACCGATCTAGACGCTAGCCTCTACCGAATAAAGACGTTAGGTAATTTGTAAAGGCATCTGGTGTTTATGTTTTAGCCTACCAATAGGAGCTATCAAGGGTCCACTCAAACTAAGAACAACAAGTCAGAATTCAATACGCATCACCCTCCTAATTCGTTATTCGCGAGATACTTCGAGATAAAACATGACAATAAAAAAGGGGCTGCCATGCATTAGAGGCGCATACAGCTTGAGTTGCAAAGTAACTAGCCATTCAGAGTCAAGGGTTCACACACACACACACACACACACTAATTCAAGGGATATTGAATCGCAATCCAATAGAGATAGGTACCTGTCAATGATTTCTCAGACCGGAAGCAACGGCTATGAAGTTACACGTTGTAAATGAAGATTACCAGTTGAGAAAAAGTTGGTCAGTAATTTGTAACCAACAATCCCACTAGTTTGTACGTTATTTGTTGACTGTCACGGAAAGCGACGACCAAGTGAAGGGCTACAGTGATAAAACAGGATCATGCTTCCAATCTAGAGGTCACTCTTGGGAGGATGGGTACCAGTTTTTATCTGTCCTATGGTGTCCTTGAGATTTCGCATAACATGTTCTGGCTGACAGGGAAAGCGATTACGGAGAATTCACTGGAAGCGGCTTTGCTTCGGAGCAGATTGTCTCCAAGGTTCGCTCTAGACAAACACGGAATGATGAGAAATGCCCAACGGTGATGATGATGATGATGAGGTTTAACAAAAGAAAGTTTGGCCATAATGTTAGTTAAACTTCAGTAAAAACGGAAAGCAGATTCCGACGGAAATCAAGAGACCCTCACCTGGACGAAACGCTTTCAGAAGTTAGTCGCCAGTCTAGTAGAGCCACCATTGTTTGATCACTAGGTAAAGGCGAATGAACAGGCAAGGCGTGGTACACACGTGGGAAAACGACGGGAATTGAAATAACTGAGCTTCCGTCAATCTCATTAAAGCACGGCGACAAAACACCCAAGGCACTGGTATGCGGTTGTGTCAGTTGAAAGCAGCTCTCCGATGAGTCCCACCAAAGACGTCCAACCAGTGCACAGTTATTTGGTAGGTTCGCTTGAGGTTGAGGAGCAGCATTCAAGCTTTCTGCCACCCAAGTATTGTTAGCTGCGTCCAGTACATGGTCCGTCATCAGCCTGAAGGGAAATGTTTAAGGCGTGAAGATAACGGTAGCAGGGTCTCAATGATCAGACAACAACTGACGTGGATAAAACGTCATTTGGATAAACGCCGTACCTGTGCGCGGAAAGTTCAGACGTCTGCGTGTCAGTGAAGCGAACATGCTCTACCCTTTCACGTTTTTTTAGCCTCGTGTTTAGGTCTTCTGAGCTGTTGCCGTCATAACGAACCACCGATTTAACATCTGATATTGCTGAAAGGAACAAGACTCGGTCTCTTCAATTTGCCGGAATATTTTAAAGCCTATGAATACATCACTTTCTTTAGATGGATGTTAACGATGTCATTCCAGCTTAAGCAGGGTTTAGACAAAAGGTGATCAGGAACCCCAAGCAATTCCCAAGAATCCAAGTGGGGTTAGGTTTCCAAAGGAATAGTGAATTCAGTTTTGCTGATTATCCTTGAATAGATAACGCTTGGGCAATATGGTGGAATCGGGTGTATTGCTCAGTTCAAGAGAAGTAGTACTTTTTCCAAAACTTTTTAGATAGCCTATATGTCCAGATATTTCCGTAAAAAATCGATCAAACAAGAGAGAATTCCAGGCGCATTCCCATTTTAAATTGCACTCTGGGATAGGGTGCGTTCTTTCTGACAATGACATTGTCCCCTGACATCAACACCTTCTGGAAGCGAAGCGAATACGTGAAACCACCTATGTGCCCATTTTAGTGGACTCATGAAATACAACTCAGCTAGATATATCGACTGGAATGCATGAGAAGTGCATCCTTTTTTATAGCAAGAAGTTGTGCCATGAGGTTAGCACTTTGGTAAAATTTGCATAGCAACCCCAAAACCTTTCCCTGTAGATTAATCTTGGGCTATAACAATAACTAGATCGTTGGAAAGACCCGCTAAACCTCATGCAACTCGCAGCACGGACGACATCGGGTTCCGTCGCAAGAGGACAATCTCATTCCTATTGAAACACACGAGCTGGACGTAGAGGGGTCGGATACGCATCCACACAATTGTATGCATCAACACTAACAGAGGAATATTAGGAGACGAACAGAGCTTTGCGTCAGTAGCCCAACGAAGTGAGCCCAAATCAGTACAACATACCTAATATTCACAAGGCGACTGTGCCATACTAAACAGTTCGACACATAAGAGTGTGTGGTGGTTGTGCTAATCAACTGACTGTGTCCATCTGGCAAGTGCATCCTCGCAGTACTCGAGTTAAAAACTGGCGACGACTTGACCACTTGCGATATGGCGGCGAGTTCGGTCAAGGTAATCCAGTTCTTGTGTTCATATGGGGCAGTATTTGGAAGAGTGGGCTGAGGCAGCAAACGAGGGAAGGTGATGAACTCCTCAGCATATTGTGGTACATGTTCCGACTGTTTAATAGACGCGAGTAGTCTGTCCAAATGCAAGGAACCGGGTTCCGTAGAAGTCGTGCTGGTTGACTGCATGTACAAAAGGGTTGGGAAAATTGACAAAAACTGAAATACAATAAGATAAACCTTGCTAGGAAGACGACTAGCCTAAAGGACCGGGATGTACAGAAGAACAAACCTTGAAAGAGTATCAGCTCGTCAGCACATCCATAAGACCGTGAAATGGACGGGTAACAAACGGCGAACCACCATCTGACCAATAAAGATTTTGTGGTAAATGTTTAGTACATACATCTCGACATCATAACAGGTATCACTAAACGTAGGAATAAAATGTGGGTGGGCAAAACTGGTAGATCCAAAGTAGATTGGGTAGAATTGGGCCGTTTCAGTTGTGCACTTAGCTCTGGAGCACTCAGAATTCAGCATAAGAATAAACCGTCTTAATCGTGCGAGTACGACAAACCTCCAAAGTTACAGACTGAAAGCACGCAACACCACCAGCACGGTCACATTAACCCCATAGTTTATTTCTCAGTCTGTGCCTACCTTCCGACCTCGTTTGTACGCCAACACTAGAGACATTCAAACGATGTTAGGATTCCTAACAGCACCATTTCCCATTCATACTACCCAGCTGAAAATCCGTCACGTCTAGCGAATCCGTAAGTCCCGCAATAATTCGGTGGATTCAATGAACAATGCGTCAGAACTGATCCTTTTGCCACTTTACGTGAGCCTAAGCTGAAGCATCACACTAAAAATTGAGTGCAAAATGAGCTGCAAGTGAAGACCAGATCAGAAAACCTGATTTCAAGGTGTCAAATAAGGCCTTGTGAAATGAAAAATGAAAAAAATTCGTGACAATGCATACCTCCAGCTGTCCGCGATTTTCGTTAATTAGTGCAGCCGTGAAATCTCCTATTAACCGTGGGACGTCTATAGACGACTTGGCTAAAAGTGGGGGCATTGAAAGTGTCTCTTCGGTGTATGGAAGCTGATTTTCTATAGGTCGAAGAACGCCGACCGAAGACGAAACGAAACAAGTGGAATACATTCCAACAATAATGACGCCTTCACATAGACGGAGAAACTTGTTGTCTTGAGGAGAGGTAATCAATGGGCACCGTTCTTTTGGGATAGGGACACCCCAAACATTATGCAGACTCAAACTTCGACCGGGAAGGAGTGACCGACTTCGGGAACCGACAGCATACACACAAAGATAACTGGAGACGGGTGCCCCAGGTTTTGTTGCTGAGACTTGTAGTAATGTTCCATTGGAATTCACTCGGACAATTTGGCAAGTGAGATGACGTATCAAACAGACTGGCCAAGAGGGACACTTTACGGGGTGGCATGGTTCGAATTCCGGCAAATTCACCACCTTAGAGTTGTGGGGTGAAAACAGCAGCACTGGACGTTCCCGGTGCTGGAAGGAAAGAATGAGATAGAAGGAACCAAGGTCCCGCTAAAAAGACAAAGAAATTATGCACATAATAACGTTGACCAGCCTGAAGAATGCGCTTACTACAGCGAGTTGGGTATAGGCTATATTTTCATGGTAGAGCATTTCCTTTCGACGCAGGCGCGACTGTTACTTTTTTACAGGTGATAATAGTACGTTCATCGAGGTCAGTCTGGTTTACCAACAATGATGAGTGAAACTTCTATCTGGGGAGCCAGTCAGACGTGGATTCCACGAATGAATGATGAATGGCGTTATATCCTTTCTAAGTGCAAGCTCATCACACTGATAGTCAGCCGCCCCTGGCCAAACGGTTGCGTTCAACTAGCCGGGAGTACGTGGGTTCGGGACCCAAGGAAGATTCGTGAGATACGTACCGTTAATGATTCCCGATAAGAGTGAAACAGCTGTACAGTGCTACTCAGATTTTCAATGTAGGTTAGCACTACTTATTAGAAT